CAATAATGTATAGTGCATTGAAACAGAGGAGGGAGAAAACTCAATGAAAGGTTCAATAATGTATAGTGCATTGAAACAGAGGAGGGAGAAAACTCTTTAAAAGGGATATGTGATTAGGTATTTTTGTCATGACAGGAGTCTACAGCGAAGGCTACATGGTAGAGTGGAACTGGGGGAAGATTTGTAAAACAATGAAAGAATTTTTCTTTTACTTTTCCAAGAGGGTAGTGTACTGGGAGGGGGGAGGCAGGGATGGGAAGGGAGAAAGTGTAATAATGAATAGAAATCAAACCCACCCCAAACCAAACAAACAAAAAAATAAAATGCAGTAAATACATGCTTTTTATTTTTTTAAAAAGAACTCATGAAATACTATGCAAAATGGATGACCCTGGAGGACATTATGCTGAGTGAAATATCTCAGTCACAAAAGGACAAATATTACATAGGGCCACTGTTGTTAAATGGGACTGACATCAGGGCTGAGGGAAGACAGAAAAGAAAGGGAAGAATGATGTATATTGCATTGAAACAGTTGAGGGAGAGAACTGTTTAAAAGGGACATATTCTTGTCATTACAGAAGTCCAGAGTAAAGGCTTCATAGTGGAGTGGACTTCGGGGGAGAGACTGCATAACAATGAAAGAGTTTTTCTTTCTTTTCAAGAAGAGTGAATTTGGGGAAGGGGGTGGGTAGGGAGAAAAATGCAACAATGAATGACTGGACACCCTGTCTCTGTAAACTTTCATTAAAATTAATTAATAAAATTTAAAAAAATGTGGAAAAATTAACAAACATAAAAAAAGGAATTCAAAAGATAAAAAAAAAGAAACATGTCAATAAGTATCCCATCAATACCTTGGACCTTATTTTTTGCAGGTGCCTTCAGTGCAACTTGAACTTCTTCCTTCACTACAATTGGCTCTTGATCATATGATACCTCTTGAAATATTTCAGTGTCAGCTAATTCTTTGGATACAGCAACTCTGTGTATTCCTTCCATCTTCTTTGATGTTTCGTGAATCATTCAAGATTTTGCCCATAATATCTCTCAGTATTGCAACTTGAGGCTTGAATTTGTTTTTCACTTCTTTCAGTTTGAAAAGTGTTGAGTTTTAATTCTCCAACTCCAGCTCTTTGCACATTTTGTTAAAATACTTGAGCTGCCCTTTGAAATCTTCTGTTCTTTTTTTACTTCAGTGTCTCATCCCATTGCTTTGGCTACTTTGTGCTCTACTGCAATTTTCAGAGTCTCTTTTGACATCCATTTTGGCCTTTCTCCTCTGTTTCTGTAATGACCTTTTGCTCTCTTTGTTGATGATACCTTTGATGTCATTCCACAACTCATCTGGTCTTCAGATGTTATTGTTCAATGCTTCAAACCCATTCTTAAGATGATGTTCATATTTGGATGGGATAGACTCAAGGTCATTTTTTGGTTCTTGTGGACTTGTTTTAATTTTTCTTTAGCCTTAAATTGAACTTTCACACGAATAATTGATAGTCAGCACCTGGCCTGATTTTGACAGCAGATGTTAATTTCCAATGATTCTTTCCACCAATGTAGTCAGTCTGATTCCTGTGCAGTGCTTCAGGTGAGGTCTTTTTACCTTAGATCTGCATGCTGGTAGGTTCAAACTACCAGATTCAAAGCACCAAGTGCTGCTTTTGGGTTAGTGTGAAGCTTCTTATGGACTGTGCCACCAGAACTCCCTACAAGGGTTAGATTATGTTATCTTTTACTCATTCGGCATTATTATATAGCCATTTCACAGTGTTCTTGTTACTTCTTAATAAACATAATTTTAAATGGTTGTTTAATATACCAGTTATGGTTACATTGTATTATCTATAGTTTTAATATTTTTTCCTTTTTGATCACCAACTGCTTCAAGGAAAGTCTTTAGACACAAAATCATTTTCCATACAGGACTACTTAGAAGCTAAATCTGAGTGCTCTAAAGAGGATTATGTAACCAAGCAACTCATTCAATTGTTTACTCAGAAAATGGTACCTGTAGGCTTATTATGACACAGACTTTAAAAAAATTTATAAGGGAAAGATTGGTGAGTAAATAGCAATATTAAAATAATTTAATATGCTTTGTCTCAGAGATAGCTATTGGATAATATGGCATTATTCAGTAGGAGATGGAGGGAGGAGATATAGAAGTACTTCTTAAAGAAATATGGACACAATCTGAAGGAATGTCAGTGGCTGGTTGAGAAAAGAGTAGAGAAGGGACAGCGTGTTCACACCTTCAAGGATGCTGGAAGTAGTTATTTGAGTTAAAGATGTGGTGGGGAGAATCCAAAGGAGAGACTGAAGTAGTAGGCAGGTTTTGTATCATGCGGCATTTTGTATACCAGCCAAAAAGTTGAATTTTTTTTTATCAAAAAGTCAAATTTTTAACCCAGAGACAATAAGACATCGATAATGAATAATCAGTTTCTTGTTTGCTTGCTTTAGGCAAACTCAGCTGACTTTGTCAAAATAAAAAAAAAATTGTTTGAAGTTATGTGCAAAAATTCTCTGAAGAAATACATAATGTCCATCTCTATTGTCTTTGCAGCCACAACAAGAATCTTTCCAGTGCAGGCATAGGGATTGAGAGGATGGCAAGTCAGAGATGAGACAGAGGGCTGCTCTGAGGGAGAAGAATGAGTAATCTCCTCCCATATTATTTATTGCCTTTGAAAAACCACTGAATTGGTTCCAACTCGACATTACACAACACCAACATCATAACAGAAATACCACGAGTGAATGATGTTAACAAAACATTTATTTGTCCACAGTTTAGGAGGCTAGAATTCCGAATTGGAGAACTGGCTCTAGGAGAATGTTTTCTCTTTCTGTAGGTTCTGGAGGAAGGTTCATAGCTCCTTTCCTGGATCTAGGGACATCGCAGGGATTCTGGGTCCCAAGGATGTGCTTTTCTAGATTTTTTCCCTTGATCTCTCCTTGGATGCCCCTCTCTCTAGCTCTTGTAAGATAAAAGGTATTGCAGACTACATCTCAGGGAAACTTAACATTAGATCTTTATCAGGTGGCATAAAGATGCTGTATCCCACCCTTAATCCTTTTATAGTTGATTGCTTTATCAGATCATAGGACATTATACATTTGGATGGCATAATTCAACCTATGACAAGGCTTAACAGTACTTGACTGTTGACCATACTTATTTCATTTTTAATGGTTGCAGTGCAATAGGTGGGGTTAAGTATTCCTTGGGTTATTAAAGACATATTTTGTTAAGTGTAGTGAAGGAGTCCACAGCCAGTCTGTAACCCCATGCCTTAGAGAAGTGAGAGTTTGGTTTGTTATTATTGTTAGGTTCAGTTGTGTTGGTTTTCATCTTCTAGTGAATCTGTGTGACAAGAGTATAATTGCCATAGCGTTTTCTAGACTCCAATTTTTATAGGAGCAGAGTGCCAGGTCTCTCTACTTCAGAATGTGGGTTTGAATCCCTTTTAGTAACCAAAAACAATAGCTGAGTACTTAATTGTATTAAATAACTAACAATAGCTGAGGTCTTCATTGTATTTAACCACTAATAGTAGCTGAGTACTTAATTGTTGTGCCACTTTTATGGAATATTGTGAGTCTTATGAGGAAGAAGAATGATCCTTTACATATGTTCCCCACTCCATGTTTTCTTAGCTATGAATGTTCATCACATACCTGGTGGGTGAGGCGTTTAGGTTTTGAGGGTTCTAAGCCAGCCAATAATGTCATGAAATCAACCACTGTGTCAATATTGTGCTTTTGTGTGGTTGTGTCCTTTAACAGACACAACACACTCAACCGGCTAAAAGAAATTAGCTCAGGGATATTGGCTCGGAGGAAAAGAAGGATCATGTTGAGGTCATTGATGGGACATCCCAGCATCTTTCTGCTGAGGAGGTCAAAAGCTGGGAGCATCTCATAGATGGACAGGAGGTGTTTGTCCCAGCTGCACAGTCGAGTGAGGTTGTAGAGTATCACTGGAACCAATAAGGTATATACTACTACACTGGAGAGGCTAACAATCTGGAAAACAGACAAGAAGGACAGCCTGCAGGTGATCAGATCAGGGATGTGAGCCTCATCACTTAGCAGTTCTCTCTTGATGGAACAGCTGAATTCCTCCTGGAAGAAGATACCTAGATGGAAGTGACCAAGGTATAGGTAGGTGGCTGAGGTGAGGAGGAGCAGGAGGGTGTTCCTCAGGAGGTAGGTCGTCACCAGTGAATGTGAACGTTGCTTACATGCCAGGTAGCGCTCCAGCAAGGGGAATTCAAAGTATCGTTCTCTCCGAGCCCTGGGCAGGGGAAGAAAGGAGGCAAAGTTAGGAGAGACTGTTCAGAACTATATTTTTGGAGCATCAAATGAGGAAGTAAGAGAAGATCTATGTAGCCCTCACAGAATTCTTGGCTAATGTGAACACTCACTGTCTTTGAGTACTCCATCCCTAGTACTGAGTGCAATGCAGTAAACCCAACAAGTCACCCATGGCTAATGAATTGCCACACTGATTTTCTGCTTAAAAACTCTAACCTCCCAGTTGAAATAGGCTCCTTTTGGCTTTTAAATAAGCACTAGATGAGGAGTTTTATAGTAACTGCATTGTGGCTTTGAGTCTGTGTACTCTATACAGAAGTCATAAAAGTAAACTTGCAAGCCAGTACTTGTTGAAGATTGTAGTGTTCACTGAAGAAACTTGGTCTGATTATGAGAGAGATGCAGGTAAAACATGCAAGCAGGAAATAAAAACAATGGTTTGTTTGTTGCTAAAATGATGGGTAGAAACCAAAGCAGTTGTAATAGTTGGGAGACAAACAGCAGTGTAGCCTGGAGTGTTCAGAAACCTATAGGAAAAGTGTTAGCTTTGAGATTCAGAGATTGATAAGGGTCAGAATAGTTAGAAAAGGTCTGATTTTTTTCAAAAGATGGGAGAGGAGTTCTTTTCACAGCCTAGATACATTATGGCTTTAAAACCGCCCAGCTAACCTCTAAGTGAGCCTGCTGTGGCCACCTACCCACTTAACACTGCACCACTCAACCCACTAGCTCTCTCAACCTCTTCTGCTCTTTGTTCATACCACTTACCTTTTCCCCCTTTGGCTTCTAATCTGAAGGTTGATAGTTTGTACCTACTAGCTGCTTTGAAAGAGAAAGTGAAGGCAATCTGTTATAAACATTTACTACTTTGGGAACTCTATGAGGGGCTTGCACTCTAACCTATAGGGTCGCAGGAGTCAGAATTGGCACTTTATCAGTGGATTTAGTTTTCACTCAATATAATGTAAGACATGGGTCTGTAGGGTCTTCAACACAGCACATGAGTAGGTATGTATTTGTCTCCATATGCCGTTTCCCCTCTCATCTCCAGCACATAAACCCTAAAGCATTCATATCAATAGACTTGTGCCTGGTGTATAGTTGTTAGGTGCCATCTGACTAACTATCACTCATGGTGACCCTATGAACAACAGAACACAATCTTGCTCTAGCTTGCACCATTCACTGTCAGCCCATCTCATTGAGGGTCTTCCTTTAATGAATGAACAGTGTACAGGAGACCAGGAGAAGACTGCATAGGCAGAGTGGAAGGTTTCTGTTGTCTGGTAGTAAGAAAATAGTTTGAAAAAGTTATTGTTATGTGCTGTTGAGTCACCTGTGACTCATAGCAACCCTATGTACAGCTGTGAAGCCTATGCTGTCCTGAGCTAGTCTTACTGACTCTGGCACACCTACTGCCATTATCACAATTGCTATATCAGTTGATCTCATCTGGGGTCTTCTCTCCTGTGATGTCTGTCTCTCCACCTTCTCCAAGGACACATGCCCAAAGCATGTGAGACAGAGCTTCAAAATCCTGGCCTCCAAGGAGAAACTTGGTTTCACCTTCTTCAAGACAGACCTATTTATTTTCTTGGAGATCCGTGGTAGTTGGCAACACTGTGTTGAGGTCCTAGGGAAACTTTTTCTGTAGGTATGAGAAGAGCTATTTGAGATAGCAGGGGATTGATTAAAAAAGTGGTGTTTAAAGAGACTCATCTCTTTGTTACTCAGTGTGTCTAAAACCTCCGTATAGAGAACTTTCTCTTCTTTGTATGGCAACAATAGAAAGTTAGTGAGATGATATATTAAACACTTTTTTTTTTTATTCTGAGAAGTATGCCACAGGATAATATAAATGTTACTTCAAAGAAATGGCTTTAATATTTGCACTGATATATTCAGAAAGGAATGAAAAGAGACAACTCACTTTTCCAGCTCATCCCAAAAACCATGGGGATCAGAGCTCTTCTGCCGGATCTTCACCATATGCTGTACCAAGCGGATGGAGCGGTTATAGGATTTGTCCAGTTCGCTGATGATAAACAGCAGGTCTGAGCTGAGGGCTGGCACGGCTGCATACTGCCATAGCAGAACTGGTAGGTACATGGCCATGGCTAGGCCCAGCAGGGAGTAGGGGAGAGCCTGCAGGGGAGGGCAAACTGAGGAGGAAGGCCCAGGGTGGGAGGGGTGGGAGGCCTCTAAACAAGGGGCTATCCTTCCCTGAGGTTCTCCCTCAAAAAGGCATCACATTGTAGGTTAAAAGCTACCAAAGGTCCAAGAACAGAATTGTTTAAAAGCTCATATGAGAAATAGACTCTCAGGTTCTTTCTCTAACATGATGTAGTCAAGTGATTATTCTTTCTCTTCCTTGGTGGAAGGCTTTTTGGAGAAATGAAACTAGAGGCTCTTCATTTGGGTCCATTGAAGGCAAAGGAGCCATACTGAGAACAGAAGAGTTAAGTGAATGGATACTATGTTCTAAGACTTATTGCTAAATTCCCTAAGGATTGACAACCAGGCTTAACACCAACCACAGTCTGTCTATGCAAAGATTAAGAACTTTTCTTGGAGAAATCCAGTCAGTACAAAAGAAACAGTCCGCAAATACATATTGGAATTTTCCACAATGAACTTCCCGAAGATCACTTTGAACTCAAGGCTGCTAATCACTACATCTTATTCACAAAGCACAAAGCTTCCAATCAGGTGTAAAGAATACTAGACATCTGAAGAGTGGCTGCAACATGAAATCAGATCAAAATAAACCCTGAGAAGGAGGGAGAGGACACAAGGAAATGGAGAAGGTAAAGATAAAGTTCCATTCCCCTTCCATTTAGATGTGAGGTCAACATAGAGCCCAGCCCACTTTACCTTGTGGGGCCAGAGAGACTTTGTCTTGTAGTGGCCCTGCTTGTCTTGCTCATGATGAACCAGCGAGTCCCAGCAGGAACTGTCCACAAAGGCAGCCTGCCGGACACTGAAGTTGCTAGGAGAGAAGCAGCTGATTGGAGACCCTGGAACAGGAAGACATCCTTAAAGCCGCGTTGAGCTGGAGTGGAGGGTCAGACCCCAGGGAGCAGTCATCTAGAAGTTTTATTGGGGTTGTTGCCCATTTCTTTTCCCAGTTTCTGTATCTGCTGAGCACCTGTTTTCATCTTTTAGTATCTGAGCCTGCTCTGGCTCAGTAGGACTTGACATGATAGAATAGTAACCCTCTATTTGCTCTTCAGGACCCTTAAAAAGGAACAGTTGCCATTGAACCAAACCAATTCTAACTCATAAGGAAACCCATGCATTTCTGAGTAAAACTGGGCTTCTAAGGGTTTTGGAAATTAATCATCACGCTTCCTTCTGAGTCACCTCAGAGCCACCACCCTCTCAGTAGTCAAGTGTATAATCATTTGTACCACCCAGGAACTAGGCTGCTTGCTCCAGGCCTGCTTTTTTGTGCTCACGGCCCATTAGCTGTGGCAGTTCCTTTCTTTCAAAGCTCTCTCAACGTTTCCAAAAGGCTGGGTGGGGATCTTCCCGTACTCCACAGTTTGGCACCAGAGGGCCTACAGTTGATGGTAATATTTCCTTCTTGAGAGGACTGACATCTTCAGACTTTAAAATTTAGAGGGTTTATTGCCTGGAAATCTGAGCTCAGGCCAAAATCAAAGGTGGGAAAGTGGCGAGGAAAGGAGTGGCCTTGGAGGGAATCTTTGGCTTTTATTGTCCCATCCTTCTCCAGAAGGAGGCAGAGGTGAGCACCAGCACCTCTCCCATCTTGTGGATGAAGGAAAAGACCATGAGAGATGGAGATATATCTTTAAAAAACAACCTAAGTTAAAAAACAACAAATGAATGGATAGAGAAGCTATGGTATATTCATACAATGGAATACTATGCTGCATTAAAAAAACAAAGAACTCATGTAATATTATTCAAAATGGGTGACTCTGGAGGACATTATGTTGAGTGAAATATCTCAGTCACAAAAGGACTTATACTGCATAGTGCCACTGTTGTAAAATGGCACTGACATTGGGGCTGGGGGGAGAATGAAAAAGATGAGATAAATAGTGTATACTGCATTGAAACAGATGAGAGAGACAACTGTTTAAAAGGGATATATGATTAGGTGTTATTGTCATGACAGGAGTCTAAATCAAAGGCTGCATAGTGGACTGGACTTGGAGGGAGGGACTGTATAACAATGAAAGAATTTTTCTTTTACTTTTCAAAAAGAAGAATGAACTGGGGTGGGAGGGGTGGGCAGGGTGAATGATGCAACAATGAATGAATGGAAATTCAAAGTCTCTGTAAATTTTCATTAAAATTAATAATAAAAATATATAAAGGGGAAAAAAGAAATAAATTAAGACTCAGAATGACCTTATGAACAATGACTTTGAACCTTGCCCTATTCTATGCTGTTCTTATCCTAGGGATTGTAAGCAATATCACAAAATATAATGTATATGAACTGTTGAACAGAAAACCAATTTGCTGTTTACGTTTTCACTTAAATCAATGTTTAAGTGAAATATTTCTAAATGCGCCATAAAGTATCACACTGGCTTTAGCTGAAGTAGATTTGTTTGGGGTTTCCCCCCCCCCAACCTTTTAAATAAATTAATCTAAAAAACAAAACAAACAAACAAACAAAAGCATAGTGACCTCATAGCACAGCCAGAAAGGAAAGCCAGGATTCCCAATTTTCAGCAACTCTACTTCTTTAGCAGGTAGATTTGCTGAGTTTTGCTTTGCTTTTTTTTTTAAATTATATTGTTTTGTATACAAAATTCATATACATTGTTTCATACTTTTGAATTCATATTGTGTTTCATATGATCATTCCCATACATTGTGTTTTATAAAATTAATCACCATTGATCTATGCCCCCATTATCCTGACTTTTCAGGTCCCTACTGAATCTTTCCAATTTCCTTCACCCCCTCCCTCTACCAAATTGTGCCACCCTATGATTTCCCCCCACCCTCAGCCACCTTGCTGCCTCCCTTTCCCCTGCCCCCATTTGTAAATGCCACCTTATAAATACACATTTTACTAGTTATCCTTCTATTTTTACTGTAATATCTTATGCACTATTTGTCCTTCCAAGACAGAGTTAGTTACTTTGCATAATGCTAGAGACCCAGTTTTGTTAGTCATTTAGCCTATGTTCTCAGATCTGTAACCCTAATTGTAAATGGCAAGAGGGCTTGGAAATTAAGTCATTTGTCTAAAACATGGCCTGAGTAAGATCAATGGGAATTGTAAATTCTGAAAAGATTATAGTGGCCCCAATCTCTCACTGTCAAGAAACAGAATAAAATTTTAATTATTGAAGTTACATAAAACATGAGTACTGAAATCAAAAGAGCATATGTCTAAGTTTTTTTTAAATTGCAAAAGTTTGGAGCTTAATTTCAGAACTTTTTTTGGGGGACTCTAAACAGATGCAGTAGGAGTTCTGGTGGCCCAGTGGTAGGAGTTGGCCCACCAATCCAAAGACAGGCTGTTCAGAACCACCAGATACTCTGAGCGAGAAAGATGGGCGATCTAAAAACTCATTGAAGGATTAGGTATGGGTTAGTTCCATCTAGATGGCAATGAAAAAGAAATAAAGAGAGATGGATAGATAGATAGATAGATAGATAGATAGATAGATAGATAGATAGATAGACAGACAGATAAACATGCATAATATGCCTTTTGGATAATACGGTCAGCCCAAATCAGGAAACCTAGTCCCAGTGAGAGCCTACTTCAGCATCTAGAAGGCTTTTCTTTTGTACTAGTCCTGTAAGCAACTTACCAGAGGAGAATTCTTGGGCAAATGCCAGGGACATCAGCAACAAGGGGAAGCCCACACTTAGGAACTTGACTATCTGGTCCAGGGGCAGTTCCAGGCGCAATCCTTTTAGACGGGGACTCCTGCGTTCAGGCAGTAGGGCATCTGAGAGCATATACTCTGCAGCTGTGTGTGCAAGTGACATGATGCTGGTGTGTTTGGGAGTGCAGAGGTGTCAGGAGGTCCCAGGGTAGCAGGGTGAGAGATGGCAGCTTCAAGCGGCTGACCTTGAGTAGTGTCCGCAGCTCTGACCTCAGGCACATCTGTGCTAGAAACAGGGAGTAGTCCTCTAAATAACTGGCCAAGCCCTGGAACAGGCACTCTGGTAATTAAAGGGAGGCAGAGCCTAAGCAGAGCAATGCTGGGGAAGGATAAGACTTCACTTGGGGTGGGTGCCAGTTTTCTCTAGGCTACCCCTGTATACATGGAGTCCTGCTGTGGCTTTATGCTGCCCTTTTATTAATAAAGTATTTTTAGTAGGATGGTGGAAAGAAGGGAAGGCTATGGAGTCAAGGCCCCCATATAACTGATGTGGAATTCGAGTGGAGATTGTTTAAATGTGTTGGAGGCTCTCATTTTGTTTGGGCGTGGGAATAGAACCCCCACGACTCAGAATTGCTCCTGCTATGTAGTATTCTTTGTTCCAGTGATGATTTTTGCTCTGGGCCCTGGCTCTTTCCCAGAACCTTCTCTGGTTCTGGAGTTAAATTTCCTCCCTGCCTCTGATCTTTTCCCAGTGTGTGTTTCAGCCACATATTTACAATTTCAGATTCCTTTTTAGACCCACCAACTCTCTGGCAAAGCTGCAGAGAATGCTTGGCAGTGTTGAGGAGTGAAGATTGATTGAAAATATCAGAGGTGAAGGTGCTTTATAAATTGCACTGAGTGGTGAGTCTGGATTTTACTCTGGCCCCTTTGGCTATGCCTTCCCCACAATGCAAGGAGTTCACGTATGCCAGTTATAGCAACTGGATGTCTATTTAGAGTCTACCCATCTCTTCTTGATGACTCTCCAGTGCTTGAGACTGTAATTTATTTCCTAAATGGCTCAACTTGCTTTCAGGGTCAATGTGCATCCCCTAAAGGGTGCTATTGGGGTGTATCTAAGCCTGAGGATGGGGCTTATGAACAACATGGCATCTGGCTTTCCCCAGAGCAGCTTATCTTAGAGAGACCACAAACAGGAAGCCACAATGTCTTTTATGACTTAGTTTCTGAAGTTCTATGTGGTACACACTTTTACTAAGCTAGTTACCAAAGAGGCAGTGGTTTGAACTCACCCAGTCGTGCTACGAAAGACAAGGACTGATGATCTGTTTCCACAAGATTACAGTAAAAATAGTCCAATGGAACAGTTGTACCCTGTGACACATGGGGTTGCCATGAATCAGAACTGAGTTGAAAGCACGTGTTTCTAATTATTAGTTAGAAACAAATCAGGAACCATGATGGTGAAATGGTTAAGAACTCAGCTATTAACAGAAATGTTGACAATTTGAATCTACCCAGTGTATCTGTGGGAGAAAGACTAGGTGATGTGGTCCTGTAGAGGTTATAGCCTAGAAAACCCTGTGAGGTAGTTGGACTCTGTCACCTAGGGTTATTGTGAGTTGAAAATCCAACAGCAATGGAAGGAAAGCACTAAATTCAATGGGAGGAGAATTAGGTTCCACATTTTGAAGAAAACGTCAAATACTTTGTGGACTATTTTAAACCAGCATATTGTTGTTGTCAAGCTTGGAAGGAGGATTGGCATCCACTTTCATAATAGCTTGCCTCCGGAAACCCTATGAACCTGGAGAGAGGATGAAAGGCACCCAAGCATCGAGGACTCTCCTTCATAGGGTCACTATGAGTCGCCTGAGACTTGACGGCACTTAACAACAATAATATCAACCTAGAGAGAGATAGATCAGCTGGCCCAGTGGACAGAAAGCGATGCTACCAAGCCGAAGGTGGGTGACTTTTAATCCACGGCCCTCGGGCCTGCCTTTCATTGTTTTTGTTCAGACATTCCTCTAGGTCGTATAGCCCTGGTGTACAAGTTGCTGTCCTGAGGTCACTTTTGGTTGCTGTGAGGCTGAACACTGTGACAGTGATGTGTCAAATGCGTTAATGGTTGGCTACCTACTGCAGACAGAGAGTTGGGTGGAGCTTCCCCATTAAAAAAAGCTTGGAAGGAGGAGTGGCATCCACTTCCATAATAGCTTGCCTCTGGAAACCCTATGAACTGGGAGAGGATGAAGACATCTAAGCATCGAGGACTCTCCTTCACAGGGTCGCAATGAGTCCCCTGCGACTCGATGGCACTTAACAATTGTTGTTGTTAGATGCCGTTGAGTCGACTATGATGCATAGTGACCCTGTGAACAGCCAGCCTGAATTCTATCCTATCCTGTTCCATTCTCACTGTCTCTCACACTCCAGAGCTCGTTCCTGAAGTCACTGTTTCAGAAGCTGACCAATTTTTCATCTAAATGATTGACTTTATTGGCATATTTTGTTAACATGTCACTGTTTTTGTTGTACATCAATATGTATCTCTACTAATTTATTGAATTTTTTATGCATTTTAAAGTCACTTGCAGGTGTTAGTATGTTTGTTGTTATCAGATGCTGTCAATCGGATTACAACTCATAGCAACCCTGTGAACCAGAGATGAAGTCTTTGTTCTTTGCGTCCTCACGACCCAGCGCATTGTTACAGTCACTGTGTTGATTCATCTTGTTGAGTATTTCTTTTTTTCTTACCATCCACATTTTCCCCAAGGATTGGCCCCTCCTGACAATGTGTTCAAAGTATGTGAGATAAAATGTCATCATCCTTGCTCCCAAGGAGCATCCTGATTGCACTTTCTCCAAGATAGACTTGTTTGGTGTTTGGACAGTCCATGAATTATTCAGCACTCTTTTTCCAATACCACAATCAAAAGCAATAATTCTCCTGTCATTCTTATTTATGTTCTAACATTCAGATGCATAGGAAGCAATTGAAAATACTAAGGCTTAGAACAGGTGTACCTTAGCCTAAACTGACACTGTTGAATTTTAGCATTTTGAAGAGTTCCCAGCACAACATTCTTGTTTGCTGCTACCATGAGCTTGATTGTGTATTCAAATAAAATGACATTTTGTTTTAAAAACTTTATTACACATACTGGTATCTTCATGATGTGTGGACCTGGGTTGACTGTCTATGTGGCATTATTATTGATCATTACTTCTTTAATGGCTAGCTGTTTTACATTGCATGGCAAAACTTGTATATTAGGAATAATAACCATAGTTTATTGAGATGATGCTATCTTTCATAAAAAAATGCTCCCTTTTCTTATGTTAACTAAATGGGCTAAGGAGCTGATACTTATAATCTATCAGTGAATGAGCTGACCTCAGTCTATGTTGGAGTTTTAATAGGTTTTAAGTCTGCCTTTAGTTTTTCCATTCCTGGAACCTGACCTTTCCAGGTTTTTAGTTGAGAGCCTCTTGGTATTTGTCTTTTAAGCTCTGAAAAACTGCAAAAGGTTATGCAGTGAAATGTGTGAGAGATAGTACTTGGTATCACTGCCTTGTTTTTCTGGGCCCTAAAAAGTTCTCTGCCTTTGACAGGCTACAATTGTATCACTTTTTCATTTCCTGAGTTAGTGGAAAAACAGTTGAGTTTTCCCTCTCTGACAGGTTTTCACTTTATAAAGGTTCCAATTTTTGTAGGTTTTATTTTATCATCTTGAGCAGATTTTTGCTTAGTTCTTTAGTCTCTCATTGGATTTAGCTTGAAAATCTTCTGAATGTTTTAAAGAGAATATTGGCTTGGTGAGGTTGTATCAATGAGTTTAATACAGGCCTCCTCTTCTGGGAGCACCCTTGAGAAGTACATGAGATTTTGAGCTTTTGGCTTTGTGCGTAGTCCATACAATTTCAGCACTATGTGGATAATCTGTGAAGAAACTGGATACTCTTGTGAAATTCCTTTAAATTTCCACTTCACCTCTTATTGTCTTTAAAGGCTTTGATGGCTCATACTGTAGTGACCTTCTGCTTGACCCAAGGCCATGATAAGTTGCCACCTGAACACAACAAATGCCCCCAGGAAAAGTTCTTGAAGATTGGCCACCAAGGCACAGAGATGACATCGGGCTGTTCATCTCCCCTTAGCCCGGTACACCCCATGCATGCATGGTGGTTTCAGAAAATAAAAACACAAAAACAAAAACACCAAAAACCTGCCAAGGGAGGAATGAATGTATGGGAACTTTCCATAGATGTGTAAGTCACAATGTCCATTTCTACATATAAACGCATGCATGTACCCGCAAAAAAAAAAAAAGATTGGCATCTCATCAAATTGACTCCATACTCATCTGCAATCTTAATTTATCTTTTCCTCAATTATTTCATAGTTCATGGATACCTCCATTCCCAAGCTGTAGTTCTTGTGTACTGTCGAGTCAGAACCAACTCATGGCTTACTTTCCAGTGGTGTTTCAGAGTTAGTAAAATGCATGGAAGGATATTACCAATCCTTCTCCCTCTGAGCAACTGTTTAATTTGAACCCTGTGCATTTGGGATTGCAGTGCCACTCCTTGCCACTAGGCCACAAAAGCTCTCTAAATTGTATTTGACATGGGCTTTTTTAATGTGTTGCTGCAGGAACATACACCTCACCTCACATGGCAAAGTTCCTCTTACCATGAAGTCTGTGCAATAAGATTTAAATACAGCTAAGTAGGCGCTCTGGTGGCATAGTCTGGTGTGAGTTGCACTGCCAACCTAAAGGCACTACTTCTCTGCCTGTTTGAAACCACCAGTGGCCCCACAGGAAACAGTTGGTCACTTTAATCCCGTGATAATTTAAAGTCTCAGAAAACTGCTAGAGGTATGAATGAATTGAAATTGACTTGATGACATAGAGTTTTATTTTTCTGAAGTTGTGTTATAAGCCCTGGTGACATAGCAGGTTAAGTTTTGGCCTACTAACCTAAAACTCTGACAGTTTGAACCCATAAGCCACTTTTTGGGAGAAAGATGAAGTGCTGTTAAGATGGAAATAAAAACAGCAATGAGATAGCACCTCACCCCAGAAACAAGAATAATACTCTATAAACAAGACAGTAAACAGTAAATGCTGGTGCAGGTGCAGAGAG